CTGTCTCGTACCTACTGATTTCTTTGAGTTAGCGACCACAACGAACCTCCGAGGTCATCCACTTAAACTACGAGTAACTGGCGCCAAGCTGGACACTCGGAAGTTCTTCTTTTCAAACAGAGTGATCGAGGCCTGGAATGCTCTGCCTGCAGGTGTCGTCATGTCCACCTCCGTCGAGGCTTTTAAGCGCAACTTGGACCAGATTGCCACCAATCGTCACAATGCCGCCTGACAGATTGTCTAGCATTTCGTTCGAACAGTGTATTAATGTTGTTATATTACTTCCTATATTTCAGTAACGTTTGTTTTTTTAATATTGTCCCATGTCTGTTAAATGTGTGTTGGCATTCAATTCGTCTCCCTCCGAAACTGAGATAGCACCAACTATCCCTAGACAGACTACTGTACAGCACATTTAGTAACGTTAATGTTTTTAACTTTTGGAACAATTCGTTTATCTGTCTGGCTTACAAAACGTTGCCAGTCTGAAGAAACTCTGTAGCCGTTTGATGTTTCAATTTTCACATTTTTTTTCTGTCTGGCTTACAAAACGTTGCCAGTCTGAAGAAACTCTGTAGCCGTTTGATGTTTCAATTTTCACATTTTTTTTATTGTTCGCCTCCTTGTAACAAATAGGGAGTTCAAAGGTTTAACACCTATATTTCCCTCAAATAAACTGAACTGAACTGAACTGAGCCGCTGTGGTAAGTAGTGCTTTAAGTTCATCAAATGCGGCCTGACACTCCTAAGTCCATTTAAATGTTTGCCCATTCTCTGTAAACCGATGTAATGGACGCGCTACCTCTGCAAAATGTGGGATGAAACGTCGGTAGTAAGAAGCTAGGCTGATGAAACTTCTAACCTCAGTTACCGTTGTGAATATGAGCCACGTTTTAATTGCATCTACTTTGCCCGGGGAGGCTTATACGCTAAATCAGCCTCCAAGAAAAGTCAATTTTTGCGCAAGAACATACACTTTGGGGGTTTAAACGGAAACCAGCATCACGGAGTGCTGACAGAACAGTCCTCAGGTCTACATTATGCTAAGTTATAGATTCCCCCAGAACAATGACGTAATCCAGGTAGGTCAAACAATGGCCAGGGTATAAATGCGTTAACACCCCTTGTTTCAGCCCTTAGGTCAAGTGTTTACAGATCGTGGACGGAGCATGAAAAGTAAGTTATCGAATGGGTAATAGATAAGCCAAAAATCACTCTCCGGCTACACCAACAACACGTCAAAGAAAAAAGAGATGATTGCAATGTCGCAAGGTGAAAACAATGTGGGCATTACTGAAAATAAAGGTATGGCAAAGCACCTTAGTCGATTTTTCGCATCTATTTTCGCCAATGAAACGGATTTTAACTAGGCTGACCTCACCGCAGGAAGTACCGATGCAGCAATGGAAAACCTTGAATTCACAGAAGAAGATGTCAAGAAGGAATTTATAGAGCTTCACAAATCTAAGTCTCCGAGTCCAGACCAAATACCGGCAAAAGTACTGCAGGAGCTTATTTGCGAACTTCTGCACATTTTCCAGCCATCCTTTGACCGAGGCATTCTCCCCTCTGATTGAAAATTGGTGAATGTCTTGGTCCAGGAAAAGAGCTAAATACTATCGACAGGTGGACCTAACATGCATTTGTTGTAAGGTTAAGGAGAGAACCATCAAGAATGCTACCCTGAAGTTACTCGAAGAAAAAGACTTCTTCGATTGCTCAAAACCCATTTTGAAAAAACCGCTCCTATTTGACCAATACGTTCTATTCAATGGAGCATCGGTTCAGGTCATTAGATGAAGACACAAGCGTCGATGTCGTCTGCATCGACTTCAAGAAAGCCTTCGATAGTGTTCCACGCCGCCGGTTACTTTACAAGGTCCGAGAATCTGGGGAAGGAGGGAATTTGGTAAAAAGAAACGTTTCTGTCTCTGTCTCTGATGATGGGTTCAAGTGAGAATCCGAAACGTCAGGCGAATAAAGGCCTTGTTCCAGCGATCGCTTCTTCTTCTTCTTCTTCTTCTTCTTCTTCTTCTTATTATTATTATTATTATTATTATTATTATTATTATTATTATTATTATCAACTGGTTCCTGGAACTCGCATCTTCGCTTGTGTCGGGAATTTTGTAAATTGTATAGGGGACTTCTTGATCGGCCGACCGCAGTCTGTGTGAAATGGCAATACGAAATAGACGGTAGAGTGGCGCTCACAAATCGCTTTACGGAAATAACTCGTCCCTTTGTGCCTTGGGGCTCTTTCTCGAGCTCAACCTGCAGCCGCATAGCGGCGTATGGTATACGTAGAATACTATTATTGACAAAGAGACGAGTGAGTTCCATAAAACGATTGATGAGCCTCCCTCTACCATTGTATATTCCCGATCGCAACCGACAGGACAACGAGCCCATGGCTCAGTGATTAGAGGCGTTGGACTTCTAACAGGTCGCGAGTTCGAGCCCCAGTTATTCCATACCTCGGGTCTGGGTATGACTGGCTGACGACGGCTAATAAGCCGGAAATGACCATTCCAGTCTCCCTCGACTCTGTCAGTAATGCTATTCTGCCAACACGAAATCAATATCAGTGCCGGTTGTCAGTGATTTGCCTCAGGGCTCCGTTATCTAGTCGTTACAGTTCTTAATCTATGTCAATGACTGTACGAATGGACTGGGTTGCAGAGGAGTCATGTTTGCGTACGAAATCAAAAGATGGCAACCGATAAATGCCATAATAATGAACGAACTCTGCAAGAAGGGCCTAACCGCCTGTGTTAACGGTCTGATATATGATTGTTGAAGTTTAACTCCGAGAAGTCGAAGAAGGCGAACGCAAAGGGCGATTCTCACCAATATTTCCTCGACGAAAGACACACGTCGAATGTAAATGTACAAAAGAACCTAGGAATCCCCATTTCGTCATCTCTGAAGCCCTCCTCTCGTTTGTAAGACTAACCTACCTTCCGTAGACTGCCAAGCGGTTAGTCATACAATACTTTGAAGCGATAGTTTTGAGGGACGGATGAGGCATATAAATACGCACCCTAGTTTTGAATGGCGTAGGATTTGTAAAAGCATAGAATTCTGCTGCACTGTGCTAAAGAGTTTCGCAATTTTTAGAAGTCGACTTATTAGTAGATTAGAGGGATCTCAGCATTCTCATAGGAGGTGTCTTTCGAGAGTTTGTCGAGAACCATCGTCCTTTGCCATTTTGCCTCTAAGGTCTTGACCGGGTGTAATTTTAAACGTGCAGCAGTTCTGCAGCACAGTGGCTGTCTTGCCAGCCAATCAGAAACCAGTTGTGACTTCCAGATCACGTGTGTGGCAGTTGTCCAGAAAATCGATACGACCTCGCACTGCAACCTCGCACTACAACTGGTGGCAAGATGAGTGAGCAAGGCCAACACGTGGAAGAATGGATTCGTCGTAATCCCCATGGACTGCAACCGCTCAGCACCTTTCCGGAGGACTATCCTCCAATGGGACGCCTAAACTACAATGTGCCACCTATTAAACTAACCTTGGAAGACTCCCCCACCGCCCTCATTCCCGAGCCCTTCTGGCACGGATACACTGGCGCGAGGACGCACTTCGTACAACAGCCAATGCCATCAAATGCACAATTCCTTCTGACAGGAGGCTACGCTCCTCGGCGGGGAGGGGTGAGCGCCGTTGTTACTGAATCGCCGAAACCAGTCCACGACCTACCTCCTAGTGTGCCTTGCAGTACGGTGACGGTAGCTGCAATGGCAGGGAAGGACTCGATGACCACGGTTATACGGCCGCAGATACACCCGATTCAGGTGGATGTATCTGACTCCCGTCTGTGGCGCTTTGACGGCCGCGATCACACTTTCAAGACAGTCTAACTGGGTTGGATTCCAAACGCAGTTTTTTTTACCAGTCCGGCTTGGCTTGCATTTATTGGTTCAGTGAATGTGGCCCATCACATTAAACAAGATTGCTTTCATTAACGTGTCTAATATTGCTGTGATTTCACACACATGCCTCGAGGGTAGGTGAAGTAACCTGGGTTCTGACTTGTGTTTGGACAATGAAGATAAGCGACCTATTGGCCGAACTTCGTATTTATGTAGCCAAATTAACCAAGTGTTAGTGCATCCGCGAATTCCCGCCCCCCAGTGTGTTAGTTGAGATAACATCCAAGATTAATGCAACTTGTAAGAAAGTAGACCGACGGGTATTTGACGGATTCTTGCTGCAGGCAACATCCTACCATTTTCTTATAAACAGGAGAGTGCATTGCGATCTTCCAATGACAGAGTCAAGTCTGTCTAACGGGACGAAAGGACAGGGTCACTATTTATTAACATTGGTCCACTATGGACAAAGTTACTCCTTGACGCTATAAGCTCGATGATGCTCGACAAATGTAACGTGACATCAAAAAGAGATTAGATGCTCCGATGTGGATGACTCACTTCGCGCATACTTATGCGAAACTGCGAGTCGTATTCATAGCCCAATGTTTAGGTATGAGGGGTAAAAATCGTTTGAAATACGTGTTTTGCTGGGAGTTGAAACGTTACTTTCTGTCGATAATCAGAATTTGCCACGACCGCACGCTATTAGGCTACACATTCCACAAAAACCACACGAAAAGGTGGGAGCCTTCCGACTGCACGATCGGCTCTCCCTCCTTAATGAAACATCTACGGTGCCGTTACATGTATTCAGCACCAGACGGAAGTTAAAAGCCACCTAAAATGCGCTCAGACAGTAGACAAAAAAGCAGAATTTTCTCACGCATACCAGACACAAGCGTACTGCTATTCGAAAGGGCTTTCAGAAGGGTTCAGGGGCGTGTGAGTCTGATCTTCACACATAGGACGTATCTCATCGCTATTAACAAATAGATGACAGAGTGGCGTTGGTAAAAGGGTGGACAGGTCCACGCTAATTTGGGGTTTCCAGGTCACTTGTCGCTAACGGCGACATGTGTTGCGACTAAGCAGTGTAAGTGTGTGCAGTCTGAGCGCTACCATAATCGGGGCAAATCCCAGTGTTGGAAGGAGAAGACGGAAGGCACCAGAATGAGGGGTTTATTGTGTACAGAACCCGGAGTTGTCCTCTCAGGCGGCAGTGGTCGGTGTTGACTGCATCCAGTCATGCCAGAGAGTCCCTGAGGCAGTGGTGGCAGCCGCTTTTATAGGCTCGTGGGTCAAGCTCAAGTGGTGTCCAGTCAGTGTGTGTTGCATTTGCCCAGGGGTGGTGACCCAGTAGCTTGTTTTGCTGGTTGCAAGGAGGTGGCGCGTCCAAGTGGCGCATGGGTAGCCGCGACACTGTGAGGACGCAATTGTGTTCGAGCTGAAGTCGACCGAGCGGCTTCAGGTCAGCGCGTCTGGAACGGCTGGAGGAAAGGGGTGAATGACCATGAGGCAGCGAGGTCTTGAACAATGACACCAGACCGGTCATGATGGCTGGCCGCCACACATCCACCGTGCGCACCACAGAGTGAGCTCAGGACGGTGATTTGCATGTGAATTAGTTTGTAGTGAGGCGGACTTGCGCAGTATCTACCTGACATCCTCCGTCTCTTCTCTCATGAACTTTATTCTGGTGGCTGGGTAATGTCAGAATGCCCGGAGTGGGGCGCAGGCGCAGGGATACGCACAACTAGGCCCCCACGCTTTCTTAGGAACGACTAGGAGATCACAGCAGTGAGGGTGCCATAGAGGTCACATTAAGAATGGGCCACTTTCTTGAGAAGGACGACGGCCTTTAGTGCACCTTGATACATTCGGATGCGTCGAATTTATCATAACGAGGCGAGCGCTAATGTTCCGTTGATCAGAAATCGTCTGTCATCTTAAAGTTGAGAGAAGGGGTACCTCCAAAGACAGTAGAGACTTGGGTGGCCAGTGGCTCAGTGGCAGAGCGTTGGACTACTTAAGGCTCGATTATCAAAGGACCTGGATTCGAATTCTAGGCCTGCACATGGGTTGGGTATGACTGACTGCTGTCGGCTAATAAGCCGGAAATGATCATCCCGGTTCTATGTATCTGTCGGTACCCCTGCAGTGCATATAATTCCCGAGGTTATGCGACTGCCTGCGAGGGCACTTTATTGATATCCAAGGTGCAGTAGGACAGGTATGTCCTGCAGCTCAATCAGCGAACTTCTTTCCACCGTCCTCTTGTTAAGCACAGACTGCAAGGTTATTCGATATTAAATTCACTTTTTTCAGATACTCGGAAGAATACGGGTTTACTACGTCAGGGCACCTTGGCGGCGACATCAACAGAACTCCTGAAACAGCCCAGACCGATGTTTAACAAAAGAGCTCAATCAAGGCACAATGAATACCGTGATAATTTGACCTTCGCAAGCAACAGACTGAGTGCATCGATGACTTGCACACGACTTAGTTTATGGCGAGGCAGACTTGCGCTGCATCTGCCATGCTTTCTCTCTCTCTTCTCTCAACCACCTCGACCAAATGACATTACCAAGTAAAAAGGGCTAAAAGTGTGTGCGGGCAGTTTAACAGCCCGTCTACGCGTGCCGCACACGACCTGGCCCCCATTGAATGCGACAGGTCACCCATGGGATCATTCGGATCCCAAATATGTATGTGTGAATGTCCTACAAGCCACGTTGTGGATGAACCATCACGGCCTGGCTCTCAGTCCTCCAGCCATCTCAAAATACTCTTTTGAGAACCGAGTTACCCTCCTCAGTCAGCAGCCCTCCAAACCACGGCTTTTGCGCGTAATTTACCGTGAGGACGGGTCCCCCGGTGTCGGCCTCGCTCTCTACTCTACCTTCCATGCACCAGCTGACTGTCCGAGTCTGTTGACTAGCTGGTGATGCGCGTGGGCCAAGTGGCTGGCGTGGTGTAAAGGCCCACGCCTAGGTAGGCCACCACACCTCTTCCATGATGGGGGTACTCAGGGGCTTTACGCAGCCTCATTAACGCTTGCCGCAGGACAATTTTGCCTTCGTTGTGGTCCAGCGCAGCTGCAGCATAGCTCCTTTGTGAGGGCAATTCAATTCTGCACAAAAGTCTTCCAGGTAAAAGCGGAAAACTCATTTTTGCATATAGTAGCCGATCTCATGAAATGCTGACTGAAATTCTGAAATGCCTTTTCCATTAGAAAGGATTGCCTTAATGGTGTCGTAGTACTGATTACCGTGCGGCATATTTCCATGATATTTTAGACATGCTAAGACGTTGGCTTTCGAACTTACTTTCTTTAGGCCCTCCGTAAAAACTGCACTTGGGAAGGGATAACTGCCCTTGTAGAGTCAAATATATTTTATAGAAGGCATGCGCAAAAATATTCTTTCTTCTATTCATTCGGAAGATCACTTCTTCTTAAAATTGTGTGCTGGAGGAAAGGGTATATTTCGGTTTTGAAAAAAATGTCTAATCATCACATTTTCCGAAACCGCGCAACGTTGCTCAAACAACGTAGTATCTGCTCGTTTAGTAATGCCCTCCATTAAGCATACAACATAGTCTGCATAAACTGCAAAATTGCATGCGCCCTGTATGGTATTTTCTTGCGGAAAGCATATAGTTTGTAGAACGAAAACCCCAAAAGCAAATACACGGCAGACCAAGCTCAAAATTATTCGGGAACTGATGCACTTTTAGAACTGAACTACATCCTTCCCTTGAGCTAGCAATCTGAAGGAGTGACCTACCAGCTGAATACGAGAAATAATATTTTCTGCGTGTTTTCTACAAAATATACTTGTATGTTTAATGTCATCGAAAATAAATGGAAAAATGCGTGCTCATTAAGTAGCCGTCTTTAGCCAGGTGCGATTTTTAGGACGGTCGTAAAGAATAACAATCAAAAACAAACGTACTCGCGTGTCCGAAATATTATGGGATTGTGCTGCGCGATAATCAATATTACGTAATTAGGTAATCATTCCTAATCGGAGAAGCATTTCACGAGAACAATCACTGAATGTACCTTATTCTAAGGAATATTCAGCAGTATATCTAATGTTCTACCACGAACTATGTGAAAGCGAGCTGTTTTTTTATTAATGGGAAAACGTTAGGTATGTCGACCGGTGCCAAATAAGCGGCCACAGGTCTTCCATTACGGCTACCTTACGTACTATTGCTTGTTCAGTAGGTGTGCTTGTGGTATTTTTTTTTGCCGCCGCGGCAAAAAAAAATACCACAAGCACACCTACTGAACAAGCAATAGTACGTAAGGTAGCCGTAATGGAAGACCTGTGGCCGCCATGGCTAGAAGGAAACATTCAAACACACCTAGCAACCCGCCTCCGTAGGGTTTACGTGTAGTTCCCATTCCCTGTTGCCTAAAATTTCTGTCCAACATACAATGCAACTTCTATGCATTTACGCACACAAACTTCTCTTACTCCAAACCACCTCTGGGCAGTTCCCCATGCGTTGCAGTTGCGCTGTTAACTGCCCGTTTGACGGTTTCTCGGTTTACGTAGTGTTTCCCGTCATCATCTCTCGGTTTCCAATCATGGTCCACTTGCCTCTCCTCCTACGCATTCCGGAGTCCACCTAACTGAGTTGCCAGCATTCCCATTTCGTCATTAGGACTACCACTTACGCCAGCTGTCCACTAACGCTTCCAGCCCGCCTTCAACTTCCGGGCGTACACCTGACCCTGCAGGCCTTCTCTCCGCATATTCTGAAACACCCACCCCTCCCCCCCGAAACTAAAAGGCTTACAGCCTACGCCGTCCAAACATACGTCTGTCACTTTGGGGTAGCTGCTACCACAGGCATTCGGCTCTTAGACCACTGCCGTATTTACATACACCTCTACCGCCTAGCCCACGCCTTTCCCCTTCCCCCCTTCCGAAGGCCTGTAATCTACGCCGTGCCGATATCATTTCCCGCAG